TGGATGGATGGATGGATGGATGGATGGATGGATGGATGGATGTGTGCATGGATGGGTGGGTGGGTGGGTGGGTGGGTGGATGCATGGATGCATGGATGGATGGGTGGATAGAATTCTGGAGAATGAATTCATTTGTTAAGATAGGCCAGCACATTCTATAAAACAGCTTCCTTGATTAAGAGCAGATCTGAAGGTTAACATTTTGACAGACTTAGCCAGTTTGGCAGCTGATCTGAGTACATCGTTCTCCCTTAGAAATGTTTCCTTATGGTCACTCCTGCAGGTTATCTTCCCAAGTACACATATTAGATCCACTGTTACAACATTTTGTGACCAAATTCACTGGAGGAATTTGAAGTTTGGCAAAGGAATAACAGCAAGTTAGGCAAAACCCGATCATCTTTGGAGATATAAAATCTTTTGAGATTGAGATTCTAGACAACCCCACAGTGACTCTGGAACAGTGGGCAGCTTGGACTCAGCTGGAGCAGCTTCCTTAGAAAGTTAATGGGTCTGGATTCTGTCCTGAGCCAGCAGAGTTGCCATGCCAACACTAAGGTCACTGGAGAAACTCGTGTGCACCCATCAGTATATTGAGTATCTGAGGAACCTCCGTTGGGCATGGACCTGGCCTGGCACTCTACGATGCTGGGTCTGGAGATGCCTGAGATGGTGCTTATGGGGCAAAGGGCAGATGGTTTGTAAGCTGTGTTGAGGCTGGAAATGTAGCTCAGTTCGTAGAGTGCTCACCGTACATGGATGAGGCCCTAGGTTTGAACATATAAGCAGACCATGATATCTAACATGTAATTACATGTAATCCACTGAGGTGGAGGCAGGAGGACCAGAAGTTTAATCATCATGGACTGACCACATAGCAAGTTTAAGGCCAGCCTGGGCTATACATGATTCCCGCAAATGAGGCTGCATGGAAGTGGTGTTTATATTAGACCAGAAACTGAAAGAGTGAGAACATAGACATACAGTGACCTGGCCTGCAGATGGGAACCGAGGATATCAATCACCCTCTGCTCCTGATTTCTGAGTGTGATGTTTCTATACTTGGTAGACTTTAATTTTCTACACCGTGAAAAATGGCTAATACCCAGTCCCACTTGTTTAGTCTTGACTTACTGTCTTGCCATCTTTTTAATTTATAGAAGATATTTCACTTCCAGGAAATACAATGCTCCTGGTCTCTACTCATGAATGCCAGAGCCAAGCAGCACCCTCCACTCTCTGACCTAGGAAGAACTGATTGGCAGATTTCTCTCCAGGCCTGTGGCAAATAACTCTTCCTGACAACTGGGCTTTGCACCCAGCTCTGTCAGTCTGAACTGAAGCCATGAGTTCACTGCCTCTTGCTGGGATAGAAAAACAATCTTTTCCCTGAGTGGAATGATGCTTCTGAAACCATTTAGGTATTCACAAGAAGAAAAAAAAGCCTTTTACTGTTGTTTTTTATTGATTCCTGGAATGAGGCTGGGAGAACCCATGCTCCATTTTTACTGTAAACACTATTAATCCAGAGATGAGCTCTTAGTGCACCGGAATGATTGATTTGAATATAAATGAGTTAATAAGCAGAGTTTCCATCCAGACGTAGATCAACAACAAAATTACCCAGGTTCTCTTTAGAACGCCTTAAACAAAAGCTGGTATTTTCAAAGCACCATATGAGGAAAGAATAAAGGCTCATTCCGCCTCCCTGATTAGACACTAAAAGTGGACATTATTACTGATTTATTCTTCAGGCAGCTCACCCATTCCTTCCCTGAGCCCCAGAACCAGTGTTATTGTAAGTAAAAGACCACCCCTCCGCCCCGTGAAAAATCAGGTCGACTTTTTTCTTTGATAAAGTAGACAAAAGAGTTATGGGGAGAAAGGAACTGAGAGACCTGGTTTCCAATCTACATAATAATTCGACTGAATTTAAGGGTGTCTTTTGCATTTTGCATTAGCAGCAAGTAATTACCTCCAACTAGAATGAAATGAGGGTCAAGAGTGGCTCGGGGTAATCCAGTGAACGTGCTACGTGGTTTATTGAACACGCTAATACAAAGTTGCATCTGGAAAAGTCAGGCAAGAAAAATACCTCCAACCCAGACTACCTTGTGAGCCTTCTCTGCAGGAGTGGTCCAGAGTGGCTGCTAGGGGATCAGCATTTAAGTCATAGTTGTTAGTTTTAGCATTTTAAGTCACGCACCTGGGAATTTAAGAGATTGTGGGTATGTGCTTGTGTCTCTAGATGTTCGAGTGGTAGGAATATACATTTTTCCTACGTGTAAGTTATTTCTTTCCAAATGTATTTGCCTATCGCTGAGTAGGCTATCAAACCAGAATATTACAACATTACGAGATATTAGATATCAATTACATTATTATTATATATTAAAGTACTAACAAGTCCAATTTTATGAAATATTGAGCTCATGAAACATACTTACCAACCAGTTGTCATGGACACCTCCTCACGGGAAGTCCAAGTCCTTGTGGGCAATGATTCAGGCACAAACAATGATTCACCCGTTAGCAGGTTAACACAGAGAATCAAAATGCAGCCAAGTCTATAATTCATGAACTTTCTTTAAAAATATTTTATCTCTAAGAGTGTTCTGCCTTCATCTATGTCTGTGTAGTATGTGCGTGCCTTGTACCCGCACAGGCTGGAAGGGAGCATCAGAATCTCTGGAGCTGGAGTTACTAATGGTTGTGCCCCACCATATGGGTGCTGGGAACCAAACCCAGGTCCTCTCCTGGAGCAAAAAGTGCTTTTACCCACTGAGCCATCTCTCCAGTCCCAGAATTTGTTTCTGTTATAAATTACCAAAAGTTTAGTATGAATGCACTTTATATCTCCAGATTAATAATAATCTAAATGACACTGACCTGACAGCAATGACTTGTAGCTTAAAAATTCCTTTATTATATCTGGAAGTAAGCAAAAATTAATCTCTCTGAAGTGAAATGCTGAATTTACCAGGTTTTAATTACATCCGGGTTATTAATACATTTCAAAGTACTGGCGGTCGATAGTGTAAGTCATCAAGAGGCTTAACTTACCATTAAAGCTTCATTTTCATCTTTAAAACGTCTTCCAGTATACACTTTAAAAAAAAAAAAGGGAATTAGAGAAACCCAGGACTTCAGGAAGGTCCAGGCAGAACAGAGAGTAAGGGGACACATGAACTTCCCCACAAGCCCTTCTACCCTGAGCCAGCATGGTTACACTTCCAAACCAAACAGTAAGTAAAGAAGACATGGCAGGGGTCGGAGTCTGGCCTCTCCAGACTGCTCATGATGTCATGCTCAGATGAGGTGGGCTTTATAGGCTAGAATAAAGGCGAGGGTGGGCAGGCTGTGCTTTGGTTACAAATAAGCCACAACGAGCAGAGTTTTCTTTGTGCCGAAAGCCCAGCATGCCTCGGAGAGCCCTTTCCCACATCAGCCTATGAGGATGCTGGAGAAGAGCTGGGCACAAGCACCAGACGTGTCATAAGGGACTTGTGACACTCGCTCTCTCAGTCCCCTGATGGGGAGCAGTTCAGTCACCTGACCCCAGAGGGATATAGCTGGATTTGACTCTTTCCAGGCTCAGACTGGGAGACTCCCTGACTCCCCAGAGGCTCACTAGCCTCAGCACACAGCTGCCTGAGTTCTTTCCTCGGGCCTGCATTGTGGGCCTAAGTTCTGCAGCAGCCATGTCTCTCCAGAGAAAAGGGAGATGGAAGGAGAGCACTCACTGTCTTCCATGTGAAACCCCAGGCAGGACCACAGATTGGACCCCACCCTACACTTCATTTGCTTAAGAGCAAAAAGTCAGTGAGAGAAGGATGCCACGAGAGACTACCGAATCACAAGTTAAGTCTGTACATCGTCTCCTGATTTGAGAATAAAAGCGAGACTGTATTTCTCACCTCCCTTGCCTTTCCCACGCACGTGTGAACACAGTGGATGTCTGGGCCCTCATCACAGCCCCACTCCTCACGTCTCAGAGGGTTCCAAGTGCTGAAGCCCTTCATAGTCGCCTGTGTTTTCTGTGATGTCGTCCCCAGCATGAGAGACACCTTCCGGGCTCGTTTAACCAGCTGCCTCCCAAGTGCCAGGCCTCACGCCAACTTGTTCCCGAGGCTCTCCTCTCACAGAGCCCGTGTCTAGCCAGGGACCTCTGAGTCGTGACACGTACATTGCAGAAACACAGCCATGCTCTTTGCATCCCACGCCCTAAGGCTTGTTGCTGGGTTTGTCCTTAACCACGGGAGGAAAGGGCTGCAGAAGAGGGTGGTGGGCTGTATGCTGCCCATTTGGGCTCCCTTCCATCCTTGCCCCTGCTGTAGGGCTGGGGAAGCATTCCGCTGGGATTCCAGAGCATGCGCTGCCCAGAGCAAATTCTGCTTCTAGCTCTGTGACCTTGTAGGTGTCCTCTGGCCTCTCTGAGATGAAGTTCCCTCATGTGTAAAATCAAATGTTTAGACTAGACAAGGGCTCTTCCAACTGTGACACTCTGCGATTCTGGGCATCTCCGTCCCTGCCTCTATAATTGAGGCCACTAGTCCCGTGACCTGAGGTGTCTTCAGAGAGGCTGAATTGGAGCCGTGTTACCAGGCTGATCAACTGAAGATGCAATCCCTCTCACAGCGTCGGTCCTGGGAAAAGCCAGCAGGTGTGTCCTCTGAAGCTCTCCGGCTTTGCATTTTTCTCCCATAACTTCCAAACGGTCATTGTGATTATAAACTGAAGACCACGACCATTCTCTAGTCAGTGTTCAGCGGAGCGCAGAGGCCTATGTCTGTGTACTCACTAATACATTGCCAAGAGGGCCGCAGTCCATGCCAAGAGTGAGTACACAGGCCTTAGAGAGAAGGTGCCTCCCTGCCTGTCACTGAGAGCCCAGCTCTGATGGAGGGGACTTGAGTAAACATAGCACTCTGCAATCAGAGACCACTAGGACTTCAGAGAGGCTCAGTCCTGTCCCCAGGTCCACAGCCATCTTGTAGACCTAGACAGTCTGACTCACCCAAGGTCGTGCACACAGGGCCAAAGTCATGAGCATGGGCAGAACTGAGGGGAGACCTGGCCCCTTCTGACGCCCACGCCAGCTCCTCCACCAGGCTGCATCAGATAGATACTCGTGGACTTACTGACAAGAATCCAAAACTCTAATGTCAGTACAGAGATGTGCTCATGACAGTGCTGATGACTGTCATTGCATACACGGTGCAGCTATACTAATCATATGATATCCATACGGCATGCATATCACACAGATTGTAGCTCATAAACTACATCTATAATTCTTAGTATTTTTTTATAACTTACAGACAAGAGAACAAAGGCCTGGTGAGATGAACTAGCATTCTTTAATGAAAGATTATTGGGCTATCCCATGGAGCCCGACCTTTAAAACATTTTACTATGCACAGCAATAAATTAGGAATTGTGACAAAATTTAGAGCTAAATTTCCCCAAAGAAATAACAGTGCCGTACGACATAAGCCATAGATATGTGTGAATGGTATGGTGACAAAATCAGGACTGGTGTTAGGGGAGATTTATCTCAGTTCTGGGGGAACTCGGAGATAAGGCTCTGTTGGGAAGCTCCACACAGGAGAGGAAAGCCAGGCTGAGCCTACAAGAGTGGGCTCAGAGTTTAGTCACAAGCAAGGGCGAAAAGTCAAAAGGAGCCAGAAGGTCTCAAAACACTCAGGGTTTACGTCAGCTGAGGGGATTGATCTGGCCGGAGGAGGGGGACGGGGAAAAACAAACATGCAGTATGGGAAAGATGGATGTGACCATGTCACAAAGATCTGCCAAATAAAACTCTGTTCTGATTGTGTCATACAAAGGGGACCAGGAGATCATCAGCACACTTGCTAGAAGCATGGGTCTTTCCCAGGTTGCTGTTAGAGCCAGGGGAAGCCAGGGTGCTTCCCTGTGCAGGCGGTGGGGTTGGAGCAAGGACAGGTTGCTCAATCAGGAGAGCACAGCTCTGATACACCGAGCTGCTTCAAAGCAGCGTCTGTAAACGGTAAGACGCCGGTGGTACAGGGCTCCCTTAAAGAGAGCTGAACTCTGATTGGCGCCGCTGGAGTAAAAATGAAAGAGGACCGAGCTTGAAGCCACTGTGGCAGTGTTGGCTTCCAATAATAACTGTCTTTAAAGTGTGGGTTTATACATTTCTTTCGAGTTTTACTAAAAATTGCACAAAATTTGCCGTTAACAGAACTATGTATAATATTCATGTATAATCTTCATGGTAAAGTGTCTAAGTGCCGGAAGTGTTTTTCCTTTTTCTGGTGTGTTTGTGTGTGTGTGTGTGTGTCTGTGTGTCTGTGTGTGTCTGTGTGTGTCTGTGTGTGTCTGTGTGTCTGTGTGTTCATCCTAAACACTCTTCCACCTTAATTATTCACTTTTTAAAAATCTGAGCCAAATACCTGAAGTTCAGCTGGCAAATGTCTGAGACACTAGCATGCGTACGATTGGGATTCCTGCTACCTTAGAGAGCAGGAGAAAGTTAAACAAAACACTACCACTAGAACTTCCCTTGGTGGTTTGAGGAGCCCTTCAACGAATGAGATAAGAAGCTGTCCATCCCGACACACCTTCCAGTCTAACCCCCACTATTGATACTTCATGCGTCTCTTTACTTTTGCTTGGTTCAGTTTCTAATTTTGCTTTACTTTTTGGTCAAGGTGATTATCCCACAAATTTATGGATGTGATGTGATATCGTAATACCATGCTCATCACATGTAATGTTAGTTACCAAGGAAGAATTAGCAACAAAAATTTCTCAAGCATTTATCACTCTCCCATGGACATTTGCAACTACATAGTTATGAGTATGAGCTGCAGCCGGCCTACTGTGTCAACACTAGAGTGTCCGTCTGTCCATCCGAAGCCCTTATACATCGACTTCCCTTCAGGTTCTCCACACCCAGCAGTAAACACACCCGGTCCTGACTGGTGGGGCCCGCTGGTTCCTGTGTACATGTTCTGTGTGGCCACTCACCAGGGAGATATTACCAAATGTGGGTGTGGCCGACGTAAACAGCAGGACCCTATGATGTTCTCTCTATCATGGGCAAAGCATTTCTGTCTGTGCCCTCCTCGAGGTCGTGAGGTGGAGCCCTGACCAATAATGTGATAGAACTGGGTGGATAATTAATGAAATCATGACTGTGGAGCCCAGTGACAAGATTAATGCCTTTATCAGAAAGAAACCAGAATGTTCTCTCCCCCTCCCTCCTTCCCTCTTCTCTAACATGCTAAGGCACAAGGGCTGCAATCCAAGAAGACGGCTGTCAGAGAAAGGCAGCTACTGCCCTCCTGATCTTGATTTCCCAGACTCCAGTGTGGGAAGAACAAATGGTTGCTGGTTAAGGCACACTGTCTGTGGTTTTTGTTATGACAGTCTAAGCTGACTAATTAATACATCCGCCATGCAGACAATATAAATAATTTCATGGCATAGTTAACAGTAAAAGATCCATCAATTAGAAAGTGATGAGTTTTTAAGTATTTGTTTTGTTTGGCTTCTTATTTTGTAGCAATTACAGATACATAAGGCATTGCAGGAAAGGAACAGTGCGAAGTTTGCTCTGCCTTCTGTGCATTTTCCCAGTGCTAACAATTCTGCAGCCTGGTAAACCGAGCCTGTTACACCTCTAAGAGATGGTAGATTTTTAATCACTCATTACTGTTTTATGCACACCCTTTTCTGTAGCGGTGGTGGCAGTGGTAATGGTGGTGACAGCAGTGGTGGCGGGTGATTCTGTGTTTAGATCAAAGTGACTACAAGGCTACAGAGCTGCTCCACCACCACAGAGGGTACCCCTCATGCCTCGTCTTTATATTGTCACCATTACTTATCATCCTTCAACCACGATCTCTGTCATCCTGCTATTCCCAAACTTTCATAAACACTGCCCTGATTAGCCGTAGTTTTCAGATTATGCAGTCCAGAGACACCCAAGAGGCAGGGCAGCAACAGGGAGAATGCCCAGATAAGATTGGTCCAGTGGGGATTGTCTTCTTTATTAATTAGATCAGGACAGCCCCACCCGCTGTGGACAGTACTGTCCTCAGGTTCGTGGTCCTGGATTGTTTAGGAGCCTTAGCTAAGCATGAGCCTACACACAAGACAAACAGGCTGCCAGCAAGCAAGGTTCCTCCAGAATTGCTGCTTCAGTTCCTGCTCTGCGTTAGTCCCTGCCCTGACCTCCCTCAGCGAGGGGCTGACTGTGACCTGAACATATAAGCCAGACAAACCCTGTTCCTCCCCTAAGTGGCTTTGGGACAAAGTGTTTGTATCACAGCAACAAAATAAAATTATAACAAACAGAACCAAGTATCGTGTACACTTGAGATTTTTCTCCCCCATTTTAGCCACTTCTCGCTGTGACAAAATGCCAGACACTTTCAAAGAAGAGGGG